TATATTGCATACTGTGTTTGGAGGAGTTCATTTACTTAAGGGATAAATATGGTGCTGAGAATCTTCCTTCTTCAACTTTTGGTGAGTCTGTTTACCTCAAAAGATAAATGGGCAATAAGGAGAAATTATTGATACAAAGGCAACATGTACATGAGCAAGAATTGAAAGAGAAAGCAGCTTCATGACCATCCATACTTTTCTGATTTGTTGCAAAATAAGATTCAAACATGAGTTTTCAGATAAAATAGCAACAGTAAGTGTATAGAGGGAATTCAAGAGGTTCACAGAACTGAAGAAACAATTGCAACAGCTATGGCATCCTTGAGGAAGAAAGGAGAATGCCATTGCAAAATTAGACATCAAAAAACCAGAGGTGCAACATGATCAGCCATTTGAAGATTTTGAAGCATAATCAACTTCTGAAACAAAAGAAGTTGAGATTAGACAACCTAAACTTGAAGATTGTGAGACGGAGTTGGAAAAGGAAAGTTTATTGAAGTGCAGCCTTACTGAAGACCTTTCCATTGACAATATGCTTCCAGTCCTAGATATCTAACACAAAAGCATCACAACAGTTGAACTTTCCAGCAACTTCATTATTCCGAGTGTGCTAAAGAATGAGATGCAAGTAGCTTTATTGAGGATGTTTAAGCCACAAGAAAACTTCATTGTTGGTAATGCTCTTCATGGGTTTTACAACAAATTAGTTTATCAGTTTTTGTTAGGAGTCCCAAGCATTTTCTTTAAATTCCAACTTGAAATAGGACTTCCAGTTCTTTTAGGATTAGGGTTGATGGGAGCCTATAAAAATATAAATGTACCTTTTCTTTTGGGAGAAAAATTATGATAAAAGATTTTTCAGCATTATTTCTATTGTGATTGTGTGATGCAATTAAACTTAGGTGCAACTCATAAGGAACCCTAGGCTTGATGCTTAGGTTTCCTTTCTTCTTGGTTGGCTGAATCTAAGGCATCTTTTCTTTTCTTTTTTCCCTTTTTTATATTTAGTTTTACTTATTTTCTTAAGAATTTCAGATTATTATGATCTTCTACCCTAGCCCTCCAAGCTGTCCTACATCATAAGAATAAGAATCAACAGAAAGAAAACCAGATAGTATAGTGGATCATAAAAATGCATATTGACAAACATTTAGGAAGTCAAAATAATACAATTTTGGAACGATACTTGGTTTAAAAAGGACTCCTGCAGTTTAGACAACCATTCCCAGAGGGTTAAAAAAAACACATTAAGGGGGTAGGGCTTCTTGTTCTCTACAACTTTGACAGGAAAAGAGGTTAGACAGCTAGCCCCCAAGAAATAATAGATATTATATTAATCATCAAGAAAAATAAATAAAAAGTAAATAACAAGTGAAAAAAAAACATAGAATCTTGGATAACTATGTTAAAAATGTATGATGTAAAGGAATGACTGGTCCAGCCCAGTTTAATGGCTACATTCATGTTAAATAAACATAAGCTTTACAGAATTAAATAAATCACACATGCCAACCATTTATAGGCCCATCTAATTCCACTGCAAACATCCACAAAAACAGAGCCTAAGAGCTACCAAACACCTCCCCTCCCCAGGCACCCACAAAAAGAAAGAAAGACAGCAAGTGAGGGTGTGAGAAAGAGACCTGAAGAGTGTAAAGTCCAGATTCAAGCTTCCTGTTGTATTTTTCCTCTTCATCCATCTGTAAAATGCAAGCCATGTAGTAGAAGGAAGTCATCTCAAAGTGAAATGCAGACTAGAGAAGTAAGGCACATGGATTACCTCCAAATCATCAAGTTCAAGTTGCTCCAGTCTTTGTGTCTCTGCTTTAACTCTATCAGAATATCTGCATCATGTTAAAAACCATTATATGTGAAAATTAATAATAGAAGAAACTCTCTATCCAACCCTTCATTAAAGTGGCCCAAGCAACTGTGGCCTGTCTTGGCAATGGGAACAAAAAGCTTTTCTTAGTAACTAAAAAAACATCATCCCATGCCCTCACATGAACAAGAATTTTGTTGCATATTAATGCCAACGACAGAAGAAACTCAAGACTCTAGTCCTGTAAGTTTGTGAAATTGAAGAAATAACCAATTAAACAAAACCAATACCTTATATATAGTTCCATAAGGCGGTCTATCTTTTCACACTCATTCTCAACAAACTTACTTAACAACCTTTCCCTTCTAGAACCTCTCAAAATTCCACCTGAAAAGAAAGCAACAAAAATAAAAATGTGGGTGACTAATGCATTTGATCTATATGCATCAGTATCTGTGTGAGAAGTAATGCAATTTCATTATGTAGAAAAAAATATTTGCAATTAACTGGTATCTATCCGCAGACATGATAAGCTTATGCATGGTTTCACAACCACACTATCAATACCAAGGTTGGACCACGCTGGAAATGCAACAGGAATTCATTTCCAAGAAAAAGAAACAGGACTGCTAAATAAGCGGATTTCAGAATGTAGTTATAATGACATGTTTATATAAAAATTTAAAATAGTTCATTGTTGTTATATAACTTTCCCTGAATTTGCCAGCAAGAATTTTCTACAACCCCCACATCAAACAAAGGCTCTAACCATGACCCACAGATTCAATTCTGTTCAGGACTAAGGTATCAAGTCTTCAATAGGAAGTGGGCATGGGAAATGACTAACGCCTGTTCCTAATGGACACAGACATTTGCAATTGATATGATCAATTTCTTTAATATCACACATTCCAAGATTCACAGGGATGTTTGAACAGCCTGTATAAAGCTATGCACCCAGTCAACAATGAATACTGAAACTTTTTCAATTGATTTGTCACAAAGCTAGACACAACTTGAGAAGGAAACCATACAGACCATATTTTTTCCCTCCTCTTCTTAACTTTGCAGTCAACTTCAACAGCAATATGTAATTAATGTAGTAATTTGGAAATAGAGACCGAAGTCCATCAAAAGAAAATAAAGAGTGAAAATGAAAATCGTTCATAAGAAGCACCTGACAATTCACCTGTTGAACTGGGTAATAGATTTTAAAATCATGCAACACATCTTTCAGGCCGAGTAAGAAAAGTAAGAAGTAATATTTTTAGACTCAATATATCACAGTGATGACAGACATGTAAAGAAAAGAGATCAGAAGGTATTTCTTATAAATTTAAGATCAAACTTCCTAGGGCCACACAAAAATTAATAATCTCCCTTTTTTGCTTAGATATTACCACATACTCATACCAAAAAAAATAGATGAGCATGGAATGGATTCAGAGGAACATAATGCTCTTATCCATAAACCAACTACATACTTTAAGTATAGTTTTCCATGCAGCAGCTTAGTCATATTATGTTAAATAAATATGAAAATCCTATAAACTGTTTACTTGCCTGCTTACCAAATAATGATGCAATGAGGGATACAAGGCGCTCTTCCAACTCCTCTTGGTACCTTTCCTTCTTGCTCTTTTTACCCATAGGAATCTAAACAATAAAAGAGAAAATGACATTGTATTATGTACTGAATGTAATTACACAAGGACAAGCGCTCAAAAACAAACACACACACACAGAGGAAGAGATAGGAAACACTTGCCTTACCCATGAACGCAGCAAAGGCAGTCTTCAATCCCAAAACATCAACAAATCGCTCACAAGCCTGCGGGCATTTAGTCATGGAAAAATCAAGTGCCCTTATGGCAGAGGCATAAGCTGTTTTTTTCTGCTTCATAATAATAATCATTAACTCCACCCCTTCAGCCTTAACAAACCTCTCCTTGTTCTCCAATGGCATCAATAAACAACACAAGCAATCGAACAAATTCTCCAACATTTCCTCTTCATCGGATGTCTTGGGGTCCTTTGATTTATACATAGCCACTGCCTGCAAAACCACATCCACGCCGTTCATTTGTCCCAATCTCTTCTGGTTGGCTGTGCTGTTTTGCAGCAATATTGCCAATATCTCCGAGGCATACTGCTTGTTACTATCAAATTCCCTCACTTTAATCTTACCCAACAACCATCTCAACAACTTTGTCCTCTCGCAGACCAGCTCCGCCACCGCTGGCTTCACCTCTATCATATTCTCAATGCTCGCCAAAGTATTGTAAACAGCGCTCATCTCATCAGGGTCCTTGTCCGACAAGCGTTGCAGATTCTGCACCAAGAGCTCCAATACATTGTTCTCGATGAGGGAATCGACCAGAATCCTGGCAGGCTCGTCGTTGTCCTCCAGAACATCTTCGTCCGTCAAATCCTCCAACAAATGCACCACGTCGATGGCAATATCAGTGTTCTCGTGGGACAACAGATTCAGAATGGAAGGGATGGCGTTGAGATTGACCAGCTCAGGGTACAGCTCAGGGGCTCCTGCTAGGATCTTCAGCTTCTCCAGCTCCTCGTGCAGCTCCACTTCCGAGTCAGCGAACCGCTCCGGTTGGTCCGGGTATTTGAGGCGGGCCTCGATGTTCTCCTTTAATCGCCGCTCGAAGGAGAAGACTAGCCTTTTGAGGGTGCGGAGGTCAAGCACTTCCACGGCGTTTTGGGATTTCTCCACCGCTTCCAGCAGGGAAAGGTCCACCTGGCTGTCATCGAATGGGACGACGTCGTCTCGCTTCCGTTTCAGATGGTTTGCCACTTCCATGTAGGAATTCCAGTGCCTGCTCTTAGCGGCCCCCCCCACCTACTCTGCCCACTGCTAAATGCTAAAGGCTAATGCTATACTTTGGTGATCACAAAAAGAGAAAACCCTGCGGAGTTTCGTTAAGCGTAGCGTTGTTCTACTTCGATGGTGGCCAAGGGTTCCTTGGGGCTCACAAATATAATATTGCTCTATTAGTTAATTAACTAATAATATTAAATTAAACTAGAATAATTAATAAACCCCGGGATTTTCAGAATTTTTAAGTCTTTTAAGAATGCAAAATTTTAATTTTAATTTTTATTATTGCTTTGTCTTTGATATTATTCTAATATTTTATCATTATTTTATTTTATCTTAATTTTATTTATTATTTTACTTTTAAAATTAAACCATAGTCAAAGTATCTAATAGGTAGTTGTATTATGGTCTTTTGATTAATTTAGTCCTAATTCAAAACTAGTCAATTTAGTTCCTTTACCCAACACAAGTTAATTTAATCTCTCAATTTTGAAATTTTGTGCAGTTGAGTTCCTCTCTTAACACCGTCCAATTGATTATTACGATTGATGATGCCATGCTAACATATGATGTTGACGTGACAGTGATAATGTGGCACTGATATGATAACATGGTAATTCAAAAAAAATTTAATACTATGTCATAAAAACTAAATTGAATAAAATGTAGAGTATAAAAATTAAATTAAATAAAATTATAAAATAAATAAACTAAATTCAACAAAATTCAAGAGCACCTACTAATGCTCAATTTTATAATAACTAGTCCAACTTGGAAGTTAATGTTGATCAATATTCAATTTATCTATCTATTTATAAAGATAACAACCTTTATCTTTCAATCCAACACTTTATACTTATTTTTGCACTCATCACATTCTTCTTACATTTTGTACTCACCTAGCAAAATTCACCTTCTATAGGTGTACTTGTTATTCAAAATTGTGAAGGAGAAGATGTTATACATTAGCCTAAGTAAAAGGTACAAAGGTTGTGCTTGATCCTTGTGAAAAAGCATTATGAAAATTGTGCTTGATCCTTGTAAAAGATATTGTGAAGATTGTGCTAGCTCTTATGAAGAGGCATTGTAAAGGTTATATACTTGAGCCTTAAAAAAGTATTTTTTTTATAGTGAATTTGAAACTCTTTCACTAGATAAGGGAGAGGACATAAGAATCTAGAGAGATGGCTGAACCTCAATAAATTATTTATGTTTGTTCTTTTTCTCTTCACTTCTTAAGATAGTGATTTTAACTTTGAACAAGTTTTATAAATTTGCTCATTATCTACTAGCTTATTGATTTGTGCATCAAATTTAGTTTTAGCATATATAAGAAGTTCTCTTTCATTACTTGTGCAATTTACCTTGAAAAGTTAAAAAAATTTGCTTTCAATTTGCAAATTTCTTGCGGCACTTATTATACTTTCTCTATCATGTTCTAAAGTGAAAACCATTTTTGAAAAAACTTGTCTTCTAGTTTTCCTTCCTTAAAAAGGTTTTAGTTGTTGAAGAAAATTTTAATATTCCAATTCACCCCTCTTCGAATCCTTGTCATATTTATAGTAAGCTAACATTATTTAACAATTGGCATGAAAGTTAGATAGACTCAATTTTGTAGGTCTAACAACCTTTGAGTTATTTTTATTGGCTTTAGGACATGGCCTCAAACTTTCTTGCAACAATCTCAAGAAGGACAATTAATTGTGAATCCCACTCTCTTCAATGGCAAAAACTTCTCTTGTTGGAAAAATACAATGAAGTTATTCATCCAAGCTAATGATTAGTAAATATGGAAAGAGATTGAAAATGGGCCTCACAAGGTTGACAAAGAAATGGATGAGTGGGATACAATTGACTTAGATTTGCTATAGCTCAATGCCAAAGCCATGCACACTATCTTTAGTGCACTTGGAAATAGAAAGTACAATAAAGTCTCAAAATTTGAAAGTGCTAAACAGATATGGGAAAGGTTAGAAGAATTCTACGAAGAAACAACAATGGAAGAAGAATTCGAAAAAGAGGATTATGAAAGCCAATTATGAACAAATGATGAAGCAACTAGAAATAAAGAGTCAAGTGAAACCCAACTATTAATCCAAGAACTTAAGATAAATTCT